GACATCGGCAGAAGGCAGATGGGGGAGCCACCTTCCTGCACCCCACAGCCCCTCACCCTTCTTTCTCAGGGGGCCACAGAAGGTTGGGCCCCAGGACGATGGCGATGTTGCTGGGCGTCATCTTGTTCACCTCCTGCTCCTCGGCCAGCCGTGCCAGGAACTTCATCAGGTACCTGGGGAGGTGGGAGGCGGGCCTGGGCCAGGGCCGGGCTCTGCCCGGAGACTGTACTGCCCTCGCTCAGGACTTCCAAGGGGTGGCCGACACCGCCAGCTAATTTAGCTGACCACTGACCACTGACCACCGCTGCGTCAGGTGCTTCCTGACTGAGGTGCTTCCTGTGCTGAGCAGACTTCCCAACCACCCAGTGTGGCAAGGATGGTCACGGTCTGGCTCTTCTAGAAGAGGCGCTGAGGCACCAACTGGCCTCCCCGGCCACACGGCGGCAGGGCTGGGATTTGAAGCCGGGATGCCCCCACGGCTCCAGGGATGTTTAGTTCAAGGTCTACTGCAAAAATATGATCTTGGGCCCCCCTGGTGGCCTAGGGGCTACCTGTCAGCCCTCTCACCGCAGTGGCAATGGCCCACTGCGGCGGCCTGAGCTCGCTCCCCGGCCAGGGAGGTGCCCACAGACCTCTCCGGTCTCCCCCTGTTCCCCTCAGCCGTGTGTTTCAGTCAGTCTGCCTCTTCTACTCCCCACTCTGTCTCTGGCGAATCCTCTCACCCCCTGCACCCCTGGCCTGTACCCCACTTCCTCTATGCAAAAATAAATAAATAACATCCGAGAAATAAAAAACGCATTTAACAAAATAAAAAAATACGATCCGTACGTCACAGTCGTCTTTCCGGACATGTTGCTCAGAACTGAGAGGCTCCAGTGCAGCCCTGGGTCTCAGATGGGCCCTGCTCTGAGGGCCTCGAAGGTAGGCATGGGGGCTCACCTGAGGTTGTTGAAGTTCTCGGGGGGCAGGCGGCTGCACACCTCTTGGAGGGCCTCCAGCCGGGGCTCCGGCTCCTTGAGACTGCGGCGGGGGGAGACTGGTCAGCACGCCCAGCGCACACCTGCGGGCTCCTGCTGCCAGCACCCACGCTCATCCTCACCTGGCTGCCCTCATCCAGTCGTCATAGAGGTCAAAGGTCATCAGAGGCTCTGGCAGCTCCCGCAGATAGGACTTGAGAGCACCTGAAGTGGGGGGGAGGGTCAACAGCGTCCCCTCAGCGGTAATCTCCACCCCGAACCCAGCTCAAGCCTTGTGCATGTGAACTGCCTCCATCTTCGGGCCACAGGCCCTTCAGTGACGAAGGCTAGTGATTGATCCCCAGAAACGCGTTCAGACATTGCGGGGGTTCACCATAACCCCATTTCAGCACCCCTGTCTCTGCAGGTCTCAAACCAAACTTTCACGGGGTCGTTGAAGGCAGGGAAGGGGCGTGGGGGCAAGCACCTGCCACGGCGTGGGGGTCGGAGCAGAACTCCTGCAGGCTGCGGGGGTCAAGGGCCATCGTCTGCTTCAGGCGCCTCAGCACAGAGGCCCCAGCGGCCAGACGGAAGAGGCCCTGCAGGGGGAGGCAGCAGGCAGGGGTCAGGCGGGCCGCGGACGCTGGCCCTGGGCGCTTGGGGGTCGGGCGGGGCAGGCTGGTGGAGGCCGGCCCTGGACACTTATGGTCTGCAATCGGCGGCTGCCCTTGCTGGGCCTCAGTGTCCCCAGGGGTCTGCAGGGCGAGTGGACAGCACAGTGTTGAGGATGCCCTCAACTGTCCAGGTGTAGAATTCAGGGCTAGGTGGGACGTCTGGGGGGCCAGGAAAGGTCTGGGGAGACAGGCGTCTGGCTAGCAGCGGGAGGGAGCATGGGCAGCAGGCTAGACCGCCTGTCTGTCTTCTCGAATGTCCCAACTTCCAGGGGTCCACCCTGACCCAACAGGGACCCTGCGCCCTAGGGTGGCCAGGGCAGCGCTGGCTGCCTGTGTCCCCAGAGACCCTGGTTTCCTGTGCTATGGGGCACATTTTCCCCGACCTCCGCCTCCCCCTTATAAAGTGGAGGCAGAGAGGGCCCCCCCAGGGTTATTGGAATAATTAAGTGGAGCCCGGATGCCCAGAGGAGCATCATTAAGTGGGAGGTGGTGTCAATTCAGCACCAGGCCAGGCCTGCCCCTGGGAACGGGGCTTTAACGTTGGGAGTGGGGGGATCATCAGGACACCAGTTCGTGGGGGCAGGGACAGAGAACGGGTCCCCATCTCCTTCCCACCTGCCCCGGGGTCCCACCTCTTCTTTCATGCCCTCGGACAGCAGCATGGTGACGCAGGCCTCTATGGGCAGGGCGATGTCCCGGCCCAGCTCCTGCAGATGCCTTCCCAGAGACACCCCGTACACCCTGAAGAAGGGGGCGGCCGTCATCGAGGGGGAGGGGTCTGCAGGGACGAGACAGATCAGAGGCCCAGGGCACCCCCACCCCGGGCAGCCAGGCCAGGGCAGACAGGGGGCAGCCCCCGGACCGAGATGCCCTCCGGGGGACACTGGTCAAGAGCCCCACCTCTCACCCTGCCCACCCTGAGGCAGCTTACCTCTGCCACTTCCACTGTCCCACCCCAGTCCAGGCCAGCCTCCCCTCCCTCCTGCCAGGCTCTGGGCTCCGGCCCTGACACCGACACCCCACCCTCCACGGGGAGACAGAGCCATCTCCTCTGCACAGGTCTCCCAGCTCGCCCTGCTCAGAGCTCAACCCTGGCTCCCCAGTGCCCGTCGGGATGGAGTGAGCTTAACAGGCCTTGCAGGGTGTGGGCTGCCCCAGTGTCCCCACCTGCTTGGCTGTGGTTCTCCCTCAGTTCAGCCAGGGCCGTGTCCAGTGAGCTCAGAGACTTGCGATGGAAATCAGCCTGAATCTCCATGAACTGTGGGGACGCCCCCCAAGGTGGTGAGGGAAGCTGAGCCTCCCCGGGGTCCGCAAGAGCAGACCCCCGGGGGTCTCAGTAGGCCCCTGCCCTGGCGTCTCCCCACCCCGAGTTCCGAGCGGACTCACGTGGATGAAGTAGTTGGCGTATGTGTCTTCCTTGGTGGCAAAATGGTACAGGTCGGCCAGGTACTCGTCCTTGGGGACAGACAGGGAAGCGGAGGCTTGGAGAGCTGGTGACTTGCCCAAAGTGTCTGGAAGGCTCCAGCCAGCAATTCTGCCTCTGCCAAGGTCTGCTTTGGGCCCAGCCCACAGGAACCCCCGGACTCCTGAGGGGCTCCGACAGTTGCTGTGTCCCGAGGGGTACAGACCCAGCCTCTGCCCAGAAGCCGCGTCTGGCGAAGACAGACTCACGGCAACGGCCCAGCACACAGGCCTTGGCCCCGGACTCGGGCCCCGCTTCCTAGCGCTACGGACTCGGGCGTCACCTCCCCCAGCTCCGTGAAACGGGGAAACCGGCGACCCCAGCACCCGGGCGCCCCTTACCTTGCACTGCTCCACCTTCCGCTTCAGCTCCTCCTCCTCTTCCTTCAGCGTCTCCACCTTGTTGGCCGTGGTGGCGTGGCCGTGACCGCCGGGGCCACCTCCCAGGCCCTGACTACCGCCTGAGTTCTTCGCTGCCTGAGCGAGCCTGGGGACAATCCCCAAGTGAGGAGGTCGCTAGCCCAGTGGCCGAGTGCCCCTCCCTGTGCTGGCCACACAGGATTCCAGGGTTTCTGGATTCCCCGTCCACAGCTGGACCAGCCCTGGGGCCTCAGCTGGCCGGGCCCACGCCTGCTCTGCGGTGCCCCCTGGTGGTGGGCTCGCCGCGTGAAGCCTGGGCTCACTCTCCTGCCTGAGGACAGGCGATGGCCGTGGCTGTCCCTAACTCTGGGGTCGCACAGACACCATCACCACGTATGTTCCTAAAGACCAGACACGTGTCCAGGGCACACACGGGACCCGGGCGCTCTGTAGGGCCCTGCGGGGTGGGAAGGGTCTTGAAGCTGTGGCCATCTCTGACCTAGGCACTGACCCCACCCACAGCCTAGGCTCTCACCTGCTCTTGAGCGCATTCCAGTCAGACACCAGCTTCTGCAGGCTTTTCTTGTGCTTGAGGATGGCAGGCAGCTCCTCCTGGGGGCGGACGCAGGGAGGGGTTCAGCGTGCTGGAGGAGGCGGGAATTCGTGGCTGGGGTGGCTGGGGAAGCTGGGGCGGGGGCTTAGGTTACCTCACTCAGCCTGTTGAGTGGCTGCAGAACATCCCTCTCCAAGGTCATCTCAAACTCGGCCAGGATGCGGGCCAGCTGGTTCTCAATGGCACAGCTCATCTCCAAGGCCTTCCTGTGGACACAGCTCTCAGGGGTGAGCCCAGCGTCCAGAGCCCCCCACTCCCAGAGGGAAACACCGATGGGGGCTCCTCCCGCCCATCACCTCCTGGCCCTTCTGTCTCTCCTTCATCTTCACTGAGCGGAACACCCAGGTGGGGCTGCCCTCACTGACCTGGACACTGTCCAGGGCCCAGATATTGTGCCCAGCCTGGTCATTCTCCCACTGTGGGTGCCCTTCCTGCTCTGGAACCCCTCCCAACTCAGACCCCTCCCCAGCATCTCCAGGTCAGGGGGGGCTGTTGTGCTCACCCCAGGCTAGACTCAGGGTCCAGCTCCTTGAAGCTCTCAGCCATGGTGGTGGACAGAGCCATGAGGGGAAGCTTCTTCTGCAGGGAGGAATGGGGCGGCAGTAGGTGAGGTGTCCCCCCCGGGCCTCCCTCCACCTGGCGGTTCCTGGGGGAGAGCCACAGGTGTGGACTGGGGGGAAGGGAACCCAGGATGGCCATTTGCAGGTAGGAGTGCAGGTAGGAGTGCGAGCTTCCTCCCAGAAGCCAAATCCTATCGCAGACTGGGAGACTAAGACCAGAAGCCAAGATGCGCGCCCAAGGCCCTGTGGCTGGGGGAGAATGGAGGAGGATTTGTCCTGGGAGCGGGCTCTGGCCCTGCCCTGGGCCTCTGCAGAACTGCAGCCCATGGGGCCCATTACCCCCACTCCCCACAGTGCTCTGGCCACAGTGCAAAACCGGTCACCACCAAGCATTACGGAGAGCACCAGCTTTGATCGGGGACGTGGTTCAAATTTCAGATTTCTCTCAGCTGGTACGGGGTGGAGCGAGTGACTTACTGGAGCCTCCAGTCACTCCGCGGCCAGCGTGCCTCGCCTGGGGTTGCCAGCACTCAGTGAGGCAATGCCCGGCTGTTCTTAGCAACAGACTGACCTTACCAGCCCATTCATGCTGGTTGTTAGTTTACAGCACAGAGTAGCACTCACAATCCAGCCTAAATGCCACTTCCTTCAGGAAGCCCTCGAGGACTGACCCACTGAGAGTGCCAGCCCAGTGCTGAGTGCTGACTGGGCAGAGAGAGCCAGACGCTGTCAGAGGTCAGGCTTCGGCTCAGGGGTTGGTACAGAGCGGGACAGGGTCAGGAAGGGGGCGGGTAGGAGAGGCAGGAGGGGGTGCCTGAGTGCCTGAGGACAGAGTATTTTCCATTTCCTTGCGCCAGAGACTCAAACTGGCGGGGAAACCCCAACCCCGATGTCTTTCTGTCACCGCACAGAGGAGTCCTGCCCGGGGCCCTCCTCCCGGGGGCCCCACTCACCACCCGCTTGTCCAGGTCTGCCCCGCTCTGGCCCTGCAGACAGGCCTGCAGTCGTTTGTGGACGTTGTGGGCGGCTCGCTTGGCGGGCTCCAGCCGCTGCTCCACCTGGAGGGGGCCACCGGCCGCTGGATTATGGCCATCGCCCCAAGCCCCACCCCGCTGCCCTGCTTCCTCTGGGGCAGGGACCACCTTTGTCTTCCTCCTTGGGGGACCCAAGGCCTGACAGCTTGGGTGATGACTCAACTCCGGCCCCCAAGTAGCGTCCCCGCCCGGGCCCCAGTTGCCAGCCTGCACAGGCCTGCCCCGCCACCCGCGGCTGGCCCAGGCACGTACCTGCTGCAGGTCCTCACCCAGGAACTCCGCAGTCTCCGGGGTGCTGCGGGGGAGGGGGAGGTAGGAAGCTTTTACTCAGTGGGCCCAGGTGAGGAAAGCCCCTGTTGCCCCTGGCCCCCCAGCAGGGTACCTGGACCTAAGCTGCTTCGTGCCCCTCCCAGAGGCCCGCCCTGGGTGGCCCGCCTGCCTCATCCTTGTCAGGGCACATTCCATGGGGTGGGAATAGGATACAAGGCTTTTCCTCCTCCACCCAGGGCTGTGTCCTGAGAGGCAGGGAACAGGGGGGCTGGGGAGCCGCTCCAGGGGACACGGAGGGGGCACCGGCGCTTCTGCTGGCCCCTCTGCTGGCCCCGGGGAGCAGAGGCTGGGCTGGTTCCAAGAACGGGAAGTGCATGAGCTCGGACTCCTGGGCTGTCAGTCACCCAGGCCTCTGGGCTGGAGGGTGGGCAGGCCCTGGGGCCCTTCACGGGACCCTGAGGCCCAGAGCATGGTGGACTGACAAGCCCAGGCTCCCCAGGCATCGGCGCCAGTGTGAGAGGACCAGAACTTGTCTCTGGACTTGCAGGCCCCTCCTCTGGGCCCAGAAAATGGGAAGCGCCCCAGTGCCGGGGAGAAGAGTGTAACAGGCCCTCTGAGCACCCCACACTCCAGCCTCCCGCAGCCCCAGCTTGGGCGCTGGGGGTGGGACCGAGCCCTGGGGTCGTTTCCACCTGAGTCTTGGAAAAGCAGAAGCAAGACAGAGAAGCAAGAGGCCTCCGGTGGGGGTGGGGTGGGCCGCCCAGAGGCAGGCCCCTCCTCCCATTCCTTGAACCCGGTCTCCTCCCCGCCCCTCATAGTCGAGGGCCCAGGTTACCCTCCCCCACCCCCAGCTACTAGAGAAGACGGGCTGCCCAATGTCCGGAGGGGACAAGTGAGGCAAGAGAGGACTGTCCACTCAGGAGCTCATAGAAGACCCACAGCGCATTTCAGTCCCCCCCAGCACAGCCGCTCCAATGGGCCTCGAGGGTGCCCCTTCCCCAAAGGCCAGTTCTGCCCCTCCAGCTCTGGCTGGGAGGTGGGGGTGGCAGTCGGGCGAAAGCAAGAGCGGTCAGCAAGAGAGTGGCGTCCGGCTGTCCCCGGCCTCGGCCGCTTCTCCACCTCCCCGCGGGACCCCCGGGTGGCGTGGGGCTGGAGGGGAGCGGGCCGGCACTCACCGTCCCAGGCTGCCCGTCTGGGCCAGCTGCCGCATGCGATGCAGCTGCCTCTTCATCATCTTGGGGCTGGCTGCGGGCTGCAGGGTCGCGGCGGGGGTCGAGGCCGCGGGCAGCCCCCGGCCCAGCCTGC